AGAAATATGAGAAGCAAACACACACATGTATCGCCAATTAATCTTTGATAAGAAAACTGAAAAAAATTCCAGGGAAAAAGGTTTGTTCTCTTCAACAAACGTTGTTGGGACAAATGGATAGCAGTCTGCAGAGGTAAGAAGCAAGAGCCGCACCTGTCACATTTACAAAAATCAGCTCTGAATGGATCAAGGACCTAAATCTACACCCAGAAACCATCAAACTAGTATGTGAAATGATAGGAAGCACTCTCCAAGATATAGGAATGGGGAAAGACTTCTCTGAAAAGACACCAAAACCACAGGCAGTCAAAGCCAAAATAAATAAACAGACTACATCAAGCTAAAAAGATTCTGTCTGTATAGCAAAGGAGACAATTAACAAAGTGAAGAAGAAATCAATGGAATCATTGCACACTGCACAACTGATATGAAACAAATATCCAGGATTACAAGGAGCTTCAGAAACCCAGGAACAGTAAAAAAACAAACAAACAGACAACAAAAACAACTGTGAAGAATTGGCAGAGAAAATGGACCCAAATTTTTCAAAAGAACAAATTCAAATGGCTTACAAACATTTGAAAAGGTACTCAGGCTCCCTAGCCATCAGGGAGATATAAATGACAAATGAAAACCACATTGAGGTTCCACCTAATTCCAGTGAGGTTGGTCTACATTCAGAACTCTATTAACAACACCTGTTTGCATGGATATGGGGAGGAAAATACCCTCCTTTACTGCTGGTGGGAGTATATGCTAGTACAGCCACTATGGAAATCAATATGGAGAGTGCTTAGAGAATTGCAAATTAACCTATCATATGACCCAGCTATGCTGTTCCTAGGAATACATGCAAAGGAAATGAAAACTGAATATGAGAAAGGGCTCTGTAATCCAAATGCACAGCAGCACATCTACAATAGCAAAGAAACAACTCAGATGCCTGCCCAAAGAGAAGTGGTTAAAGCAACTGTGGTGCATCTACTCTATGGAATACTACTCAGCCATTAAAAAGAATTAAATTACACCATTTGCAACCAAAAGGCTCCAATTAGAGACCATTATGCCAGTGAAATAAGTCAATCCCAAGAGGACAAATACCATATTTTCTCCCTGACATAAGGTAACCTTCATGCAAACTGTAAGAACACTAACCCTTTCCATACTGTTTTTGCTGCAACCCATGGGTTTTGATATTTTTGTTTTTATTTTCATTTCTTCCAAATAGTTTTTTTGTTGTTAACAAATTCTTCACTGACTTGTAGATCATTTTACTCAAGAAGCTTTTGTGTTTTCCTTCTCATTTCCTCACTGACATGTTGATTATTTAGCAGCATGTTACTTAACTCTACGGTGCTATAAATTTTTTGTTTTAACTTTATTCCTGTTGTTGCCTTTGTTTCATAGCTTTTCCTTTAAGGGAATGTTTAGTAACTGTGTAATAGAAACTATCATCTACATTGTAAAGACTCAGTACAGGACGAATCTCTACTTCCAAATCAAAGATGGACTCCCAATGAAACTGTTGCATATATCTTGACCACAGGATGCTGTACTCTCTGCTTGTCTTTGCAAGCAATGTCACGACACACTTAAATAACAGAATGGCGGACTTGTGATTGCTTATGAAGGACTATAGCATTGTAATGATATGGGGAAAATCAGTGTGGGGGAAGGAACTTGGGGAGAGGGTAGGGATATCCCAAGCACAATGGAATTGTATCCTAAAATCAAAATTAAAATAGAGTGTAAAATACAACAAAATAATAAAATAAAATTATAGTCTTCTATCAATTTTATTCAGAAGACCAAGCAACCTATTTGTGCCAGGTAAATGGCAATATGCTGATTTATGATCTTGAGAAAACTGACGTCCCACAATGTTCCTGGCATAATCAGCCCATTTGTAGACACCGGAAAACTCACTCAAGCTCTAGGATTCTTGTTTCTCTCATACACAAGAGGTTTGTCACATAAAGTTGAACACGAGTTACTTTCAACCAGCTATAATGGCACTTGTGGGTAAAGTAGCTGTCATTTTTATTGCAAAATATTGATAGGAAAATTAAAAATACACTTAGTAGAAGCAGCATAAACTAAATGCATCATACAAATAGGAAGTGCTTTTGTTTGGTAGGATGTGTAAAATAGCCTTTGGGTGAACTGAAACTTGCCAAGAGATTTTTTGTTTACCTAACAAGAGTCGCTTTCCTAATGCACATACTTAATCATTTTACTCAGCTACTTAATGTCTGAAAATGACCCTATCCTGATGACTGCAGCCCTAGCCTGTCCCATAATATATGTTGTGCATGAGACACTTAGAGCACTGTTGAAAAAGGCACTGAACATGCACACATGTAGCTCTTTGTTACTGCTTCTGGCTGCCTTCTATTTCTTTCTAAATATTGGTGAATTCAACTTATTCTATGTTTATCAGCATAAATTACACTTTTATTGAAAGAAAAAAAATTTTTACAGATGAATGTGTACCTTATATTTACATGTCTTGATAACTTTTATAATATTGCATCACACAAGTACTTAACTGTGCCACTGCAAACACTGAAACTCAAGCGTATCCCTGTTTTTAGTCCAAGGTCATTACAGTATTTATGTTATAGAGATCCTACTGTCAAGCATGTTGACTAGGAGAACAGATAGAAACAGAACTAAAACATTGACACTATTGCTTCTCTGATTCACTTGGGCTGTTCCATCATCTTTTCTAAAATTCTATTTCCTCATAGAGAAAATGAGAATATGAATAAAGTGTTGTGGTAATTAACATCTTGGAGGCCATCACAATAGATATTAACAATTCTAATTATGATGGTAATGATGATGAAGGTACTTTATAAAAATGCGTTCAACAAAGACACTAGAGAATTAAATTACTGCTATTGAAACATTCCTATGACACCGTGCAGTCTAAGTTATGAAAGACTTGTCCCAAACCAGCTCTCACAGTGATTGAATGTGGGCTGGATTATGGCTGTAACATTTATTTGGTATCTCTGAGAAAACCATAACTAATGACCACAGTGATAACAGTGATGATGGCAAAAATGTGAAAAAATGTGATGGATATAAGGAATAATTTGCATTCCTCAAGAAGTACATTACATGCAATAAGCCTGTCATTTCATACTGACGTAGAGTGAATCTAAAACAAAGATAGGAAAAAAGATGAGGAATCTTTTTCAGACATAAGGAAAACTTCAGAAACAAAATGTAATTGAAAACACAATTAAATGTAATTCCAGAGAACCTATTTAAGTGTATGTATTCAAATCTATGTAAAAAGTTTTCAACAAATTAGTAAGACAAAGATAAAAATCAGTACTTCAATATTTTAAGAAGATCTCATTTACCTCAGAGAAATATTTTCAAAAAGTGATATGTAACTGTTTTTGAAAAGAAAGAGGATTGAAGTTTCATATGACTTCACAAAAAAAAAAAGCTATGAACTTTGTGTTCTGAGAAAAAAAAAATATATAGACCTAAAAATCATGAAGCATTTTTCCAGTGGAAAGTATTTTCTGTTGCAGCTGCCAATTAACTGGGAGTTGTTGGGAGGAGGGTCTGGTGAAGACAACTGCTCTGAATAATGGAAGACATATTATTTAAATGAAATAATTAAAACATGACTATAAGCTGGTTGGCGCCTGAAGTTCTCAATTGTGAAAATGTGCTAATGTTAATGACAATAATCATGAGAGTTGAAAAGCATCTAAATTAAAAAAAATGCAGTACTGCTCATGAAGTACTATTGTATAATTTGTAAAGATTAGTGGAAAAGTACAGTAATGTATTTAAAGCAACATTTTGAAGGTCACTCAGCTATCAATTTCCTATAATGGCACTCAATTAAATACAAAATAAAAATTTAAGATTTTTTATAGAATGTAGTTTGTCCTGCTTGTAGGATGGTGTATAATAAATTCTGGCTGTATATACAAACACAAGTGCATGATCTACTGCATCATTAAGCAAACTGTAGCTATGTTGCACATATTTTGAACATTAAACTAATTATGATGATGCTTGGTCGTACTCTATACTGCATGTTTAATCTTTTTAAGAGCCTATCAGATTGAATCACAAGATTCAACTTGTTTACGCTTTAAGCAAACACATGCAATATTAACAATGCACAATATTCTCACTTAATTAGAAAAAGTTCTTGCTATCTTAAATACATTTAGGAAGATAATATCACACAGCTCTAATTTGAATTTGCCATTTAATTATATCTTAAGCTAATTTATATGACTTGGAACTCCTGCCTCTTCCCGTTGTTCTACCAGCCTAGCTAAAACTACCTTGCATCAAAATGAAAAAGATAATAAAGAAAAATTGAGTGAACAGAAATTTGAAATGGTTCTGGTGCTGATGGCGGCCATAAAGACTGAAACTCAGCTAAACGTGGTGGTCTGATGATGCCTGTTTGTTAAATCAATGAAGTGAACAACACCCCTCAAGAGTGTCATGACATTCAACAACAGAATACGTATTTTCAGAAAAGAATGTCTCTGAAATTCTTCTCAACTTCCTAACTCACATATACTTTTCACTCTCCCTAGGGTATGGATGAGAAAATATCCAGTCTTCGCCTATCACCAAATTGAAGTCAGGTAGTGAGGAAGATAGCTGAGCTCCACACATACTCATACAGACAGAACAACGGAAGACCTCAGGCCTTTGGCTCCCAAGGCTATCAGCTCTGTGCTCTGTACCAGAACTTTCCACTTAACTTCAAGGACAAAAGTTAGCAGTCTAAACATGACTAAGATAGACATGGACTCATTAAAAATCAGTAATTAAGTATAAATTTTGATATGGAAAATTCAAACTTATCATGGTTGACTGAAAAAAAAAGATTTGCAGCAGTATGAAATCAAACAATATAAGAAGTTCCTTACTAGAGGAAAGAAAAGTAATCATATTTGAATTTAATCTCACAATGAAACCACAAAGTGCTAATAAACGTTGTTTACCTTCACAGATTGTGACACCGTTTCCTGAAAAGCCCATGTTGCAATAGCACGCTTCCATTCCATTGCGTATTTCACACTTTGCATTCGGGAGACAGGGCGTCTTGGTGCAATTTTGAGTGTAGGAATAGTTCAACAAAGTGGAGAAACCCACTAGAAAGAAAGAGAAATAGAACTTTTCAGAAACAAAGTTAGATTGGAGTAAATGCAAATACTCTCTGTTTATATAAATGGATTATGATACTCCCCCAAAGGAATATTTACCTAAACAATGGCACACATGCAAATTAGTGTGAAATTTTCCAATTTCACCCGTTATTAAATAAACCTAAAACAGTTAACATGTAATAAATAACAGTCATGATAACAGTCTGTATCGCCCAGTCTTGCACCATCGGGACCTGGATCATCTTTTGCATGGAGGCGAGATTCATTTAAAAGGTTCACTGTGCCACTGTAAAGGGACCTCTGCTTCCTGGGAGTAATTCCATGCAGAAGCCAAGATGAATGAAGTACACGCATCTTTTTAAATTCAAGTCAGTGTTACCTAAAGACAGTATACACATCTAGGAGAACAAATAAAATCACTTCCCCTACCCCCTTTGACCAGTGTTGTGATAGTCAACTTCACCTTTTTCATAACAAAATTTCTTTTACATCCATTCAGGAAACAACAAAACTTAATATTAAAAAAAAAAAGGGGGGATCTTTCAGAAATGGAACACCAGCCCAATTATTACCAGCAAAAAATGAAAGGAAGGACAAAATAATATATTTCTGATTTGCTGGAAATGAAGTTGGAAAGGATATTTTGTGAAGCACAGGGATAAGATAAGAAAAGGCCTAGGCTGTTCCTGTTGTTATTGCAGGTCTTCGCAAGCGCAGGGGCCGGCAGGACAGCGTGGAGTCAGAAGTCATTGTTCGGAAAACAGTTCCCGAGATAAAATGCCCTTATCTGGTACCAAGGGATTCTTAAACATTCCTCTCTGAACTCCTGGCTCCGAGAGCTGTATATACTGTCTTGACCAGAATTAATCTGCCTTAAAGATGTGATTTATCGCCTTTCTGAAGTCTCAGGCAAATGGCATTTATAAATGCACCCAAAGTTTGGGCGGACAATCCCCCCGCAAATGTCAGGAAGCCTCCCTCAAGAGTTCAAGGTTTGCATTTCCCAGGTTTCTGGCAGGGAGGGGGGAAAGAGAGGAGAGTAGGTGGCAGGAAAGGTCAGATTGGGGCTTTGGCACTTTGCGAGAACTTCCTGAGGAGAAATAAGTAGTTATCAGCCCCTAAGCCTTGAATATCAAAGTGCACAGGGCTGAAAGGCCAGGGAAAAATCATGCGAACTTCTGAGTCAGTTCTCTGAGGAGACTTTGGGCAAATCCATTTGCCACGCGGGCCACAAGCTGGAGAGTCCTGTCACCTGGGAAAGATCCGGGCCCTCCGGCGGCACTCACCTAGCAGCGGCAGGAGCCTCATTGGTGGCGCTGGCGGTGGCGGCGGTGGAGGTAGCAGTGACCCCAGCAGCTTCGCGCTGGGTGCGGGCCCTGTACCCGGGCTGTGGGGCGGCCGCGAACAGTTCCCGGCTCCGTCCCCTGTGACGCACCGGCTTCCTCAGGACACTTTCCGGCCTCTGTTGTGTGAGTGAGCGTCCAGCCCAAAGTGTCCTGATCGCGTCCGGCCTCCAGCCCTTTTCCCGGAACCCCTGAGGCTCAGCTCCTGCTCTGTGCTACTGACCCTCTGACCCTGCGCACTGTCACAGACCCCTTGTGGACGCTTTTTACCCTAAGCATACCGTCCCCGGCTGTGCTTTAATTGAGCTGAAATGTTTAAACTCCGCAGGAATCCCGGGGGTCCTCCCTGCCACTTTAGTTTCAAGTGGCAGGGTTTGCTTTTCTCCCCTACCCTTTTTTAAAATTCACCGATAAAAGAATCATAAGGAATAATGGACGCAGACGTAAGAAGAGTGAAGTCTTGTCAGAACTCGGTGCCCACCATCCTGAGTGAGATTCAGGAAGCCAGAAGTAAATAGGTAGGAATTGTGGCTAGGGCCCAGCTCAGTTCCCTAGCTGCTAAAGTCCTCTCACACATGCCAGGATCCCTTATGGGCTCTGGTTCCAATCCCAGCAGCCCCTTTTCCCATCCAGCTTCCTGCTTGTGGCCTGGGAAAGCAGTCAAGGAAGGCCCAAAGCCTTGGGACCCAGCTTCCCTGGGGAGACCTGCAAGAGGCTCCTAGCTCCTTGCTTCAGATGGGTACATTAACTGACAGAAGATCTTCCTCTATGCCTCTCCTCTTCTCTATATCTGATTTTCCAATGAAAATAAATAATTTTTTTTTTTAAGAGTTGTGGCTAAAACGGCTGAATAAGAAACAAACCAACACCCTCCCACCACCACCAAAGTCTGTTTCAGTAATTACACATCCATGGACATTTATCATGCTGTTTTCCCTTTCTAATTAAATTTCAGGTATATCTGCCTGTACATATTGTGCACCACAGAACAACATATATAGTTTTATAAATTAATATAACTCAAGTATAATGTAAACAAATCACTCAGCATGCAGTGTAGTTAAAATTCTAGCTTTACAGAGAATTAAAGAACTGGACAAATAAAACCTGACCTAAGACGATAGTAAACAGACGGATGGGTAGGTGCCTGGGCTTGGGATGGATTTGGGGATTGGCTGCAGAAAAGCACGAGGATATTTTTGGATACTGATGATACTATTTCTTGATTGAGATAGTGGTTCCATAAATATCTGCATTTGCCAAAATCATCAAGTTATGGCCTTAAAATAGATGCATTTTTGTAGTGTGAGAGTTATGAAATCTTAAGTTTAAAGTTGATTAAAGAAATAATTGATGTCCACTTCATCAATACAAGCCATTTCACCTTTCAACAATTGGGCGTATCTTTGTCACATTTCTGTCTCCTCTGTTTGATTTCTACTTTGAATCTGCTTTGCTTAGGAAGGCCATCACTTGAAGAGGAACAGCAGTTCTCAACGCCTATAAAGAACTTACAAAACACAGCAATAAATACAACGATCACAATGACATGTCAGAAAAATGCAAACCCTTACGAGTCAACACATTTTCTCAATGTTTTCCTAGACCCTGTCTAGCTTAATTTAATATGACAAAATTTCTAAGACAGGTGCCAAAGTAAAAGAGGCAAGAGAAGGACAGAGAGGTTAGGTGGCTTGCCCAGAGCCACACCATTTGTTTAAGTATTTGATCTTGAATCAAAGTCAGGCTATTTGCTTACTCTCCTTCAATAACAGTACTTTTCCTATAAGTATCTTGCCATAATAAAGAGCCATCAAGTCCCATTACTCACAGGTACTAAAAAGGTGATTTGAATGTCCTAAATGCCACAAAAGGGTTGGATTTTATTGTTGAAATTGGTTTTTGTCTTAAAGGTTTCCTCCCCACTCCCTGCCACCCCATCTTTCTCTTTACAGCTTCGAAGTGATTAAATAGAAAGAACATTGGCAGCTGTTTAAATTATGGACTTTGGGTAGTATCAAAGGCCAGGGTGAAAAAGTTAGAATTGTGGTTTTTTGGAAAGGAGAGATAGGGACATATTTCAGAAAGCATTAGATAAAGACAAATCAGTGTCTGTTTACCTTGGTAAAGTCAAAATAATATGAGAGAAAGAGAGTATGGAGCTATACCTGTGTGAGTGGAAGTTTGGAACTACCCAGAAAGTAGAGAAGGTAGAATGAGGAATGGAAAAAGAAAATGAAATCAGTTGTATAGTATGAAATCTGAAATTCTCCAATGATCTGACTCCACTTATATCAAGCTGGTTTCTGTCCTTACATGAAGTTCAGTTTCACTGTGTATACTTCAAAGGCATCAATATAGAAACACACTTTTTCTGAGAAAAGTAATAGCACATATCTATAAGTCATAACCTAAAAATAATTTCCTTCATGTATTCTCCACATTTGTTTAATCTTTACTTTTGTCCCAAATTAAATAAAAATCAGAAAATTTGTCAAAAATATTGTTTTCCTTTATATTTGGGTTAAAAGTAGCTAGAATAAATTAAAATTTCCATAAAATAATTCTACCTTATCTTAATACGTGTATCCTTATAAAATGATAAAATCTATATTTTTCACCAGTAGATGACAGGAAACAGGCCAATAAATGTTGGATAATCTTTATAGTTTTAAAATGCATCATTGCAGAAATAGAAATACTTTAAAAGTATTGCCTGAAGATCTCTTTATATTCTAGAATAGAACAGATAAACTTAGTATAAACTTCATTTCATTGTTTTTATATTACTTAAAAGGAAACATGTTTAGAATTCTCAGTAAAAGTATTTTACTTTTAGAATAAGGGAGAAGCTTACCTTTAAAAATATTCTTAAATGAGTGCTTTAAACAGTCTAAATTTTAATCAACAAATTCTCCTTCGAGTATCATTCGGGTGTGTCTAACTTTTGAAAGCACAGCAAACAGAGATGGATTTTGGCTTAATTAAAGATCATAAAAGGTAAGTAACTACAAGTTACATAACTGATAATGACTTTTACTCATTTTGTATCATGATATCTTATCAGATTGATGATTAATTGCAAACTAGGTCCGTCTGTAAGTGCCAAATTAAACAGTATTTCCTTGAAACTTTCTTGGAGGAATTGGAGTCTGTGATAGAAAATGTTTACTATGAAAACTTGCATATAACTCTAGCTTTAGAAAAAAAAGATTATTTATTTTGGAAGCAGTGTTACAGAAGGAGACGGCCAAACAGAGTGAAAAAGCTTTCACTGTTTGGTGTACTTCTTTCTCTTTATTTCTTTTATTATTACTATTATTATCATCATCTTATGAGAGAGTTCTACAGGCTGTGGGATTTCCCTTACTCTAGCCCAAATTCTCTTCCCCCCATGAGTTCTCATATATTATTACAATTGTATAGTTCTTCATAAGCTGTCATAAGTCCATCATTGTAGACATGGGTAGTGCTAGAGAGTCCAGCATCCCATTTTCAAGATATATTCAACAATTTCATTGGGAGTCCATCTTTGAACTGGAAGTAGAGATGCATACTGCATTATATCCTCACATCTGGTTGTGATAGTCTCCATTACAGTTACTAAACACCCCTTAAATGAAAAGCCACAAAACAAAATCAACAACAGGAAGAAAAATAGAAATTTACAATGTCATGAAGTTAAATTACTTACTACTGAATGACTGATGTGTCAGTGAAGAAATGAAAAAGAAAATCAAGAACCTTCTTGAAGAAAATGATGCCACTGTATAATCTATGAGTCAGTGAAGAATTTAATATGACAAAAAAAAACTGTTGAAGAAATGAAACTAAAAGCAAAAACACCCAAATTCCTCCACAGTAAAGAAAAACTAAAAGGATATGGCTCCTCTCAACCTGCCCTACAAATGAAGAGCACCCACCAAAACCAAAGGCAAATGTGAAGAACATCCCAATAAAATAACAGAAGACTAAACCAATGAATAAACCATTGGCAAAATGACAGGACTAAATTACCACCTATTTATATTATGTAAGCATGTATGTAAATAGCTTAAACACATCAATCAAGTGTCATAGAGTAGTAGATGGATTCAAAAAATAAAACCCATCTATTTGTTGCTTATGGGAGAGACAAAGATCAGCAGAAACTATATCTCATGGATTTGAGGTTGCTCTACTTCTTTAATGACCACATTAGCCAGAGACAGGAGACAGATATTCTATCCGAGAATTTGATTTGGGTGGCAGGGTACCAGACCTGTGTCATATTCTGCAGCTTTCCCAGGAGTGTTGGCAGTGGGCTGGAACAGGCATGGCTTGAGATGCCAGCAAATTGCAAGTAGGTACTTGCTGTGCCATAACACTTGTCCCTGTCTCTTTGTCTTGAACTGGAGTCTTTAAATTTGTTGAGTGTCGATGCATGTCTTGTTAAACTGTAAATTGTTAAGGCCGCCAATATATGCATAAGAACCATGAGGCACTCATGCCTTTCATACTCATCAGAATGGAGAGAATCAGTGCACAGTACATAGAAAGACCTTCTTTAATGGACAGTTTCCTACAGACACTGTTGTGGGAATAATGTCACCGGAGACTTGATAGCCCCATATGGATAGGAAGTAACATTTGCTCTGCAGGGCCTCAATCCACATAAATAAAATTGATCACATGATTTTCCATCACAACGAAAAGGTGTAGTTGGCAAAGGAGCTGTAGGAAGTCAAGGACAAAGAGAATATAACTTACTCCTAAAGAGAGTGGTACTTTAAATGGAATTAAGCAAAGCCACCCAATGAGGGACAAGCACCCCTCCCCACCCCCAGCATACAGGGCTGCCCAGGAGTAGTAAAGACAGGGCTGTCACAGACTTGGTATCCTAGACTTTGATGATCAATAGCATGCATCTTGTGGTGGTTCATTACTCTGATGTCTGACAAAGAGTCTGAGTATTGATAGGCATGG